AAAAAAAAAGAAAAAAAAAGAAAAAAAAGAAAAAAAAAGAAAGAAAAAGAAAAAAAAGAAAAAAAAAGGAAAAAAAAAAAGATTTATATACTGGACAACCGAATTTGTGGGGGCGGAAAAAAGACAACAGCTGCACTATAGGCTTTCGAAAAGTTGTACCCTAAAACTTGTGTTGTATAACGTATGTAAATTGTATTCGAATACAACATATGTACCTCGTATGTTGTATTCGCGTTGTATTCGAGTTGTACCCTAGAACGGGTTCTATAATGTACGTACATTGTATTCGAATACAACATACGTACCTCGTATGTTGTATTTGCGTTGTATTCGAATTCAATGAATACAACGTCGTTTTTGGGTTAATAAGGTAGTCCAGTGTATAAACGGAGGGAGGGAAGAGATCTCCCTCATTTGCTGCTTAGCTTGGCTGATCCAAGTGGCGGCCCTGCTGCTCCGTTCTCACTCTTCTCTTGGCTCTTGTTGTTGCATTGGTCTTTGTCTGCTCAGCTGCCGTCTCCCCTCAAATAGAGCACATGGTCATTGTAGCTGTATTTGGAGCGACCTTTTTGTATAGATACAGAGATAGTGACCGTGCGTTCTATTTGGGAAAAGATGGTGGAGACTGGGGGCGTGTTTTCTACGTCTGTCAAGGTTGATTGAATGCTGCAACCATGGGGATGCGGGCAGCTCACGCTCAACTTCATCAACGTGGGGAGCCTTGTACGTGAGAGGGGCACGATGAAGGGGGAGTTAAGAAGACAAGAATGCGAAAAATGAAATGAATGGTCGTGTTGTGAGGAACGAGCCCTCAAGGGGCCCTATCAGACATCGCATGTTCTGGGCTAAGGCCCCCAGCAAGCCGAGTGCCCGCCCTAAGTGAAGGCGGGCCTGAATATTCGTCAGAGGCCAAAATTTGACATTTCCATATGTGGGTATTCAGGCTCTTGCAGCACGGCAGTTGGTTGGGTAGACGCGTGAGCCTCACTAAGCTGCGTCATACAGTTGGCCCAGGCCTTGACAGTTGCTCCTGGGCACATACACACAAAGCAGGGCCTGATTGAGGGTGACGAGATATGTACCTGGTGCATGAAGAGAGGTCGGCTATGGTGTTGACAGTCATGTACATTGGTCTTCGAGAGTCGAAGTGAGCCTGTTGCCTGAACCAGATGTAGGTAGGATAGTCGGGTAGAGTAGGCTGGGTGGTGGGCGCCAGACAGAGAGGAGCGACTTTGGATACTGTGTTGGTGTGGCCTACGGGCTTGGATATTGACTCGTTACTTCATTGTATTGCTCTATATGGATGGTTTTCTCGGTGCATTTGTAATCTTTGCTTGGACACGACTACTTGGACATCTGTGTGATTTCGCAACTTGGTTTTCTGTATATCGTGCGCACTCATATTTCTTGCAGTGTTTTTTTTTTTTTTTGTTTTTTTTTTTTTTTTTGCCGTTTGTTGGGCAACGTGCACTCGTTTAGTTCATTAATATGGCACAATATAGATACATTTGCGGCGGCTGATTGCCCTTTAATCATTTTAATGTCAGCATATTCTGACTTGTACCGCTGTGATGGATGTGTTTTGCAGGTGACACCTAATCTGTACGGCACGCTGGTTGCAAACACTGCTGCGGGTATTGCGGGTGGGACAGGTGTAATGCCTGGAGGTGAGAGAAATACCTCTCTTCTCTCTGTTGTTCTTTCAATTAGTTGGAACAGCTGTATATGGGGCAACTTTCAGTCTACATACAGCCAAATGCATAACCGCTTACCGGCGTTCGGATACGGCCAACCGGCTGATCAGTTCGTGGCCCGGACCTCCAAGTGTTTGCCCCCCMCCCCCCCCTAGAAACACGTTCAGGTTGTGCCGAATGGGGGGGGCGGGGGGGGGGGAAGTCCGCCATGATTTATGTTTTTTGGGGCCTAAATATTTTTATTTTTGTTACGATCCTGGCCAATTCCGAAGTGCAAAGTCACAAGAAAGTACAATGCCGTCCAATTGCGAAAAAGAAACGAATGAACTTGAGAGGAGAGAGAGGGAGAGGAGAAGAAGAGGAAGAAAGAAAGAAAGGAGAAGAAGAAGAAGAAGAAGAAGAAGATGTACACTAGCAAAAGACCAATGATAATTCCCTCCTCCTCGCCAACCAACTCCTCCTTATCTCGTGCCTCTCGTTCAAACAATAAATAATAATAATAATAATAATGATAAATGGCTGAACTAGAATCAATGTCCGAAACCCTCTTCTACTGCCAGCACGACAAGAGGTCCACCATAGCCATGGACGCCCTCCTCTCTCTTCTTCATCCAGGCCTAGGCTATGGCGGACGACTAAGGGCCTTGCCCTGACGTGCCCTGACGTGCAAACGACAACGCAAAGCAGCTATGTCGTCTTCCTCTCCGGCCCCCATGGCTGGCTCTGCCTCAAAGCTTCTTGATGCACCGCCACCCCAACTGGGGCCTTCCAGATGCAGCGCCTACATAGGTACTGAAGATGGTTTCCACCATAGCCAGGTCAGTACCTCTGGCGCTCCCCTCTCCTAGTCCTCTTCTTCCTCCTCCAACTACCCAAGCTCCGCCACCATAGCCAAGCTGGAGAGCTGGGCGCTCTCCTCTTCTCCACAGCGCTGCCTCATCCAGCGCTTAAGCAGCGTGACCGCAAAGCTGCACACAGCAAATGAGAAGGAGCACGTCGCTCCTCCTGGAGATCTAGTGGCCTGCCTGCCTCTTGGGCGGTGACTTCCAGGGCGCGCAGCCTCCAAACAACCGGGACCTCCCTCCTCCCTTTCGGAGAGAAACATCGTTGCAGACTCTGATATCGTCCGCACAGGCCCTAGACTCGGGCTACTTGGACTGGTACCTGCCCAGACCTCGCCTACCGTTACTGGGCCTCTAAAAATACTAACTTTTTCTCTTCTTCTGCTCGGCCTCCGGTTCCCAACACATCTACTGCTACTTGAGTGGTACCGGCCTACCTGTTACAAGAGTGTTTTTCCCCCGCTGCCCTAAGATCGCGGGCCTACTCCCCGCTACTCCCTCAAAGTCACAGCCACAGGTAAGTACTGGTCGCGCGGGCCTCATAAGACACAAGTGCCCTGTCGGCCCATACACACTCGGGCAAACATGTACTCAGGCAGGCAAACGGAGCAGCAAGCACGCGCTCACACGGACTTAGAAAACTCAGCAGGATGCGTGAATCTCAGCAAGGCATACATTCCAGCGGCAAATTCGGAAATCAGCAGTGTTCTCAGTCTGTGTTTTTGCAGGTCATTACATTTTCATTTCTTTGCAGGTTCTCTGTGATATGAGGTATACACGTGGGCGGCCTTGTACGCAAGAGGTTCTGAACAGGGGGAGTTGTAAGGAAGACGATTAAAAAAACGAATTCGTTTTTTCTTTTTTTTCTTTTTTTTCTTTTTTTTCGCTTTTGCACTCTGATATTCATGTGACATGGCCCAATGCCCAAGGCAATACACAAATCCTGCAACGGGGGTCAGCGGGGTTGTCCCTCCACCGCCCCACTATTCCCGCAAAAAGGGACCAAAGGAGAAATTAACGGTCGCTCTATCCAGTCGCACCAGGATCGAGTGCGCCGCCCAATGCCGCAAGAACCATTACACCCCTCTATTAACCGATTCACTCCCTAGACCAGTCGACCTCCACAACCAACCTAAGATCCTGCTTGACCTTTTAGTCATTGGAGTTA